TTTAGGCATCTTTTACTAACAAAGGGAAAAGAAATATGTTATAAAATAAGAAAAAAAAGTCTTAATTCTTGGTTTTCTTATAGCAAGAGAAAGCTAAAAATGCTTTTCTCATAGCATCGCTAGCTAGGCCTGTAATGGGGAATGTCTTTTAAAATTCATAGTAGTTCCTAACTTAAGTTTACGGGCTTTGTCTAATGCCTACTCTTCTGCAGTCACATGGAAAAAATAAATTGAGGAAAATTATAGTCTCTGACATAAATCAAAATCAAAATCTGTGTTGCCTTGAGGGCATGAGAATAGATGGCAAATTGATAAGGTACATGGGTGAGCAAAATATACTTTTTGCCTCAAAAACCAGACCATCTCTTTTCCAATTTCATCCAGCAGAATGTTATTTCTTGTTAACAGCATATAATTAATGAGTATATATGTAAGGCTGGTTGATCCAAACCAAGATCAGTTTACTTAAATGTAGCTTTAGTCAAGACTAAATAATATATATCAGAACTGCTTTCTAATTGTGCAAATCCTGCTCTGTTTGTTTTTGTGTTTGTGGTTTTTATTAGCAGAAGCATGTATACATAGATGCTGTACATTTACTTAAAGATTTGTGTGTATCTTTGCATGCATGAAGAACACATTTGCTTTCCTCTACCACCAAAAATGTAAATTGTGCTAGCAAAATGTATAATGTTATTGTTGAGCATGTAACATGAGGAAATTAAGAAACAAATATATGCCCTCAGAGAAGTGATGACTTTTAAGACTCAGTCATGCTGGACCAAGAAGTCTTTAGGAGAGAGGTAATGCTAATTTATATGATTATACAGTGCTGACTGCACTGTTGGTGTTCTATAAGTAAACAGAAAAAAACCAAAAAATAACAAGTATGTTAGAATGGTGAATTTGGCAGGTTTTTTTCAAATGTATGCATTTCAATGGTTAAAAAACCCCAGTCAGTCTCAGGATCTTTGTTCCGTTGATGTATTAATTAGATCTGTATTACAATCAAAACAAAAAAAAAATCCAGCCAGGCTGATTTGGGAACTTGAGTGTTTCCCCAAGACTGCAGGGGTACAATGGTGTGTGGGTCTGTTCTACACACATTGCTGAATTATGTGTGTGTGCCCTTTGCTTCGCAGCACTACAATGTTTTCATGGCAAACACTGCTACATCTGAGTTGATCTCTCTGGAGCTTTTAGAGTTATAAGGCTTGTAAAATAAAACTTGGGTAATGTTTAGCTTTAATGAGTTCTGTGGCTGCTGTCCTGTCATGCCCCAAAGTCTCTGTACGGCTGCCTCGCTTTCTGTACAGGCTCCTTGAATCCACCAGATTCAGTTTTTCTTTTAAAAAGGGAGACTGCTGCAAAAGGGCATAAAAGGCAGTGTAAGGACTGTATTTGGCAGCTATTTAAGTAGATCTCATACTGCAGAAATGGAAGCCTGCTTTGTTTTGCAAATTTGATAAAGATGCCTTAAAATCAAGGACTGGAAAGGGCAGCTCACTGCCCTCATGATGAGGGAGGTTGAGCCAGTCCTTGTGTGACTTTGAGGAGGGGATGGCTCAGGAACCCATGGCAGGGTGCCCAGCCAGGCTCTTCCTTGTCAGTCTGTCCTCCTTTGCAATAAACCAGCACCAACTTCTGTGGTGAAAAAGCTTTCCCAGATCATCAATTTTCAACACAGTCAGTGGCAGGGTCTTCAGAAGTGGCAGAGATGTTCCAGTGTAAGGAAGTGGCTTTGAGGACTGGAGAAGGTCCTCTGTGCACAAAAGAACTGACTTTTCAAAGGACAGCTGCTCTTCCAGTGGGAGAGGCTGTAGCTTTCAGCCTGTCTTTGTCAATGAATGCAGAGAAAATTTATTTCAAACCCTCCTTGCCAAGATGCTGTAGAGAGCTCTGTTACCAGGTAAAAGGAGGTTAAGTCTGTAATGGAGAGAAAACTTCATGAAAAAAAGTTCTTCTAATATGAATAAAAAGCTCTGTGGAAGCAACTTGATCCAAGGAAAGATCTGTGCAGTAAATTGCAAGTGACTTTTATCTATGGTGCGCTAAACCAGAAATTAAAAGTTTGGGACATAATGAAAGCTGAGGAGAAAAGAAATTAAATATATTTGAAGATTTGAGAAAATGAGGTGTATTAAAGCTAGATAGAACTAATGTAACACAGACCATAAATTCATTATGCAATTTTATCTTCAAATCCTTTTGACTGAACTGTAACATATAAGTCAGGAAGTCATCCAGTCTTAGTGTAATATCTTCTAGTGGTCCACTGCATCTCTGAAAAATTTATCCACATGGCTAATTCCCAGAATTAATTATATTGCTTTTGAATAAGCTTTCAAATAGCTGAGGAACTCACATGAGCAGAAATTATACAGCAGAAAGTGAAACTAGTTAAATGAGCTATAAAATACTGAATCACATAGGAGCAGGCCACCTTTTATTTGGCTTCACACCTCTGAATGCTTAATTGGTTTGGTTTTACTTGGTATTATTCCAGCGGGGAGGGCATTGCTTTGATGGTAGTAATTGCCCACTGCCCTGCTAACCAGCAACACTGTCCATGGGGCACTCAGTTAGAGTGATGTAAAAGCTCTTTTGGTGAATTATTTTCAATGTCTGATTTCATTTCTTTGCCTGAATGTCACTTGTGAGACGTTGTTTTGATCATCTCTTCACACTCCTCAGGATATGGGGCAACTTTTTTGAAGGCAATAGCTTCTTCTGCTGTGGGTGGGATAAATGGGTGCAACCTGTGCAAAAGTGTCCATGCAGTGGTTTGTGTCTATAAAAGTGGCCTTCCATTAATCTTGTAAGACAAAAAGCTGTCTGGCCTACAGTTCTGAAACTTTCCATTAATTCTGTGCAGGATTCCCTGTTAGACAAAACAGCTGTGGGGCTTGAGAGCCCAGCCAACATCTGCTGAAGTACCAATTTGATGTACAAGTTTACTTTTGCACAGCACAAGGCTCAATGAGGTTTGGATCTGGGACCAGATAAAAGATAACAAGTTTTAACTGCAAGGCAGTTCTATGAGGCAGCTTGAATTTTTAGCTCAGAATAATTTCTTTCACTCTGGAATTTCATGCTTTGCTTTGGCTCTTTTTTTGTCTTTGAAAAGCTTTATCTTCTGTCCTTCAAACAGTTCACTGTCAACTGTGAGATAGCAAAACCTTTTGGTTTCAGTGCTCAAAACTGCAGCTGTCCTTTGAACACTCAATATTTCTGCATTCACAGGAACTACACCATTCTACATTACTGCTCATGTGCTCCTAAAGGGCTGCCTTACATTATTTTTTTTTCTTTGCTGTGTTTTGGTGCAATGTGAACAATGTGGTACATTCAGGTGTCTTACATAACCAGCAACACCATGAGTCATCTTTTGAGAGCGACTACTGACTGACTGGCATGAGCTCAGATGGTGAAAAATGTGCAGTTAGAAAGTTCTTTAAAAAAGGATAAAATGAATCCCCCAACCATTTATTTTCACACTATATGTTACCATAGGAGTTATTTTTGCTGTAGGGAAAATGCCCAACAGCGTGTGTGGGAGTGATCTCCATTGTTCTTCAGCACATAGATGTGACTCATATCAAATAAAATGATCATAAAAACCCCAAAAACTTTTCATAAGGAAATCCCACTGAGGCAAGGACATGATTACTCTCTCCCTGCCCAGATACAGTGCAGGGTTTATATATGGAATCCCTCCTGGTCACCTCTCCAGAGGGAATAGCCACAAGGAGCTGCTGGGGTCAGAGCAAAACTGAAGGCTGCTTGTAGTGTGTAAGAAGCTGGAGATTTGAGAGATCACAAGTTGTTTATATCATATTCCAAAAATACTTTGCTTTTTGTACTGAATAAAGTTCACCCAAATTGAAATAAGAGCACATCTCTCTTCCTAATTTGTCTAACTGGTCCAAAGAAAAAGAACATCCCTTTTAAAGGGTTTGTGGATAACTGCTTTAATGGCCATTGAAAGTTTTTTGTGATCATCTGTGGTCTGCCAGCTCTAGGTGAGAAAATTCTTCAGGCCCTCTTTTGGAAAGTTCCTACCATTGACATGAGAAGGTTTAGAACTTGCTGTCTTCAGCAGTTCACCTCCTAACTGGTTCTTGTGCAGCATTTCAATTGCACTAATAATTCTGAGCTCAAATTTCATAAAGAGCGGTGGTTGTGAACATTATAAATTATAGAATAGATAAATTATAAAATAGATGCATTATTAAGATGGAGGTAAATTACTTTGTCTCTCCTTCCTTGTTAATTGAATTTGCATCTAGAAATTTACTCCAGTACTTTATTTAATAAAAGGCCCTCAATTCTGTGGCTCAGTTACATCCGTATAAAGCAGGCAGCATGCAATGTGTGAGGCAGAAGATCAGCTTGGAGAATGCTCTTTCATTGCTGTTCTGTGAAGAAAGTAAGTTTTACTGTTGCATGAGTAACAATTTTAAGCATTCCTGAGGCTGATGTTTATGGTGCTAAATGACTAGAAACTCTGCAGTTACTTTTGCTGGATATAAATGTAGACTTCGTGCAGACTAAAACCCTCTGTCACAATGAAGGAATAGCCCTCTGGTCTTATTACAGTGATTTTCAGCTCTCAGGATGAAGCTTTTCTGGGTCTCCACAACTCATGTGGAATGTTTTCAGAATTGTGGTGAAAGGGGTAGGCAGGGGTAGCTGTGTTCCAGCTCCTCCTTGAGACTATTTTGCTGACTGTGGGGATGTTTGTGATCTGGCTGCCCAGTACTGACGGATCTGGGGTTAAATTTCTTCCAGCAGCGCTGCTGCAAGCACTGGAATCTGCTTGCCCAGGGTGCTGGGATGCAGGGTTTGTTAGGTAACACAGATTCTATACACAATTTCTCAGAGCTTCTCTTACCACTGATGCGCTGCTCCATTTATGCAGCATCTGCTGACAGAAGCCTGTGTGGGAGGTGGTATTGTTTGTGTTATTTTCCCTAGAAATAGAAGATACTTGTGCTGAATAAGAGGCAGAGTTACTGCACAGCTTTTGAAAAAAGAAAAAAAAAAGTTTCTTTTTTAAGCATTCATTTTTTCATCTTGGATATGTTATTTTTTGCCCTTGCCCCCCCCCCGTGGGTAAGGGGTGGGGGGAAAGCTTGAAAAACTGTGCTTTTCTGCCCATTGATAAACGTAATGAGATTTGAGTGTCAACATTAAAATGTTCCGTGTCATCAGCTCTGTGAAACTGCAGTGAAATATGGAAGCGAGGGAGAAAAATCTCCGTTTTCAGCTTGGCTGTGTCCCCTGCTAGGGTGCTGTGGGGAATGTTGATAAACACTGGGAAGGGCTGAGAGGTGGCAGAGGCAGGTGAGGAGCCCGTGGCTTCTGAGGGACCACAGAAAGCTGCCACTGCATCTCCTCCTGCATCTGACTGCCAGAGGCTCCTAGTTAGGGGAAGCCTTTACAACTCTTCTGGTTTTTTTGCTTTCCCTGGAACAAGGAAATAAGCGATGCAATGGAAATTTTTAATAAACATTTCTAGCAGGAATAACATTTTGCATCTCCCTCTGCCTCTGCTGAGTAAGTGCTGTTAGCTCCAATTGTTCATTACTGAGGAAAGTCTTCTCCAATTCATCTCTAGCAGCACTCCAGGTAGAGGTGATTTATTTTTTTTTGTTACCTGGCATGGCTGTGCTGTCACTGCTGCTGCTGCTTGGGCTAATAGACATAACTGCTGCCGTGGACGTCGCGCCCAGAATAAAAGCGGGGTCAAGGTGGAGAGGTGAAAAGAATCGTGAGTAACCCAGGCTTTTCCTTCTCTTCTTCTCCTTCTTCTCAGCTCTCTGGAGAAATATGTTAGGCCTCATTTCACTGTGTAATTCTTCCTCTCTGTGAGGTTGGTCTCTAATAGCAGCCTTAAGGCCGTGTAATTTAAGTATTTAAATATGCATGTGGAAGGCACGGGCCACACCTTCCGTGAGCTGCACACATCTGCAGCACAGTCCTGTGTCTTGCTGCACCCTCTGAACTGCCTGTGCTGATTAACTCCTCTCTTCCCAGGGACCTGGGACAAGTCCAGGCTGCACCTTTTCTCTTTATAATCTTAGCATTTTGCATGCTATTTCAGATGTTAGCTTTGATAAAGGCAGCAAATCTCACAGGTCTGCAGTTTGTGTCGAAGAACCTCGTAACCCCAGTGATTATAACAGCTAATTTTGTGGATATAAATGCATATCTGCATACTTTAAAATCAGCAGATTTAGGTAAGGGAATGTAAGGTAGAATTGCAGCTTGTGAAGGGTTTAGGAGTGCTGCACTTATAAAGAGAAAAGAGCATTTACTATTAGAAAAGGAAAGTAGATGAGTCATCATAATATTTGTGAGTGAGACTTCCTACTGCACACACAGCTGCTTGACTGAAATAACCGGATGATTATTTCCATTTAAAGGGCAACTCAGTTCTCGCTGACATTATTCCTCTTTCCTGTCCAGCTATTTATAAACAAGAATTCCCATGATGGGCAGCATAATATTAGCATTATGCCTGTGAATATTTGCTGAGGTTTTGTTTTGAAGGTTTTTTTATTCTTTTTTAGAAACACTTAGATTACTAAAAGAGAGAAGGAATATTGAAAATAGAATGAAGGTTTTCTGCTGAATTCAGCTAAATGTGATGTGTTGCTTGGATAACATAGGTGATGGAAGTCCCTAAATTAACCAGAACTTGGAGGGCTGGCTGTTGATATCCTTGGAATAGGTGAAATTTTTTCAGTCCTCTTATCTGGAAGCTTATCTACAGCTTGAGAAATTTTTTTTTTCCCAAAGTACGAACATAATATCAATAAATCTGCTGCTTCTCTCACTCCCCATATCAGTAGCATTAAGGAAAGAGGTGATGGACTCAGTGCAAGTGAGAACTGCCTTGCCCACTCACAGGTACTTTACATCTAAAGCCCACACCGCAGGGCATGAATGTGTGCATAAGGGATGCACAAAAATAGCAACCCACAGCTTATAAATATTTGAATACATGAACTTGTTATGACTAAAATAACCTCTTCTTTTGCTCATTGTGGAAACTGAGGCACAACTGAAATATGCTGAAAGAAATTTTTCCACAGTATGTTTCTTTCTCAGTAAAAAAGCCGTCTAAAATGACTATCTGTACATCTGTTATGAAAAAAGCCAGATTCAAAAGTAAAACTACTCTACATTCATTTTTGATTTATTGACTTGCAGAGGTTTGAAAATTTCTGATTCTGAGTATTCAGTCTGGTTTTTTTTTTCCTATGAAGAATTTAAATAGATGGTGATGTAGACATTAATATCTATATTTTTTTGATGGAGAGGCATAGCATATGATGTGGATTATCCTACATTTCATGAACTGTCTGATGGGGCAGAGGGTGTGATGTATACTATACATACCCTGAAAGCATGAAGAAAACATGCTGTGGGGGAAGCATTAATAAAGTTAATCAGCTTGCAATCTCCTTTAGCTAGGATAAGTAAAATATGCAAATATTCAGAAGTTTAGGACGACCACCTGTTTGAAAATTGTTTTGCAACTACAATAGTTCATTTAATGTCACCTGTATTAGCTATTAGACTTTATTGATTCAAATTACTTGCTTTCTTCTCTCAGGACAGGGTGCTCTCATGCCAGCACATTAGCATATTGCTGTATTTGGTTAAAGGAAAAATAGGCTGTAAATCAGTTGTTATAGCACCTTGATATTGTGTTACTTGATTGCTTAGAGACATCAATTGTTGAATGTATTACAAGTTATGGATCTGAATCAGGTCTCCTTGAAATTAAGAGATGTTTAGAGTAGCCTTTACTGTTTCTTTCATTTCAATTTTAGCAGCAGTCTCACTAAGAATGGGAAGATTTTACAGGAATGCCATTCCTTGTATGCTATTTAGCTTTTGCTATCCATGATGTCAAAATTTCTCTAGTAGTGGGGATGCAGATTATCATGCAGAGCTGGATACTCTGAGCAGTAGAGAGCTGATTTCTGAGAGAAAAAATGTTGTGTAATCATAGCTGATAGAATACTTGTTGATTGCTATTAATGCTGTATATTTGCCTGTCAGTTGACATCGCACTTGAAGATGTTCTCTTGCTGGTTCATTTTTGCACATTATAGTTAATGTTCTAGTGAAAAAAAATATTCTGAAAATGCTTGTGATTGTGTTATGTATGTTTCTACTTAACTGGGTTGCACTCAAATTCCATAATTAAAACCAAAAAGTATGACATTACATGAAAGGGGACATGGCTGGTTTCTGCATCTTTTAACTGAAATTTTCACTAAAGCATTTAGATGCAGCAGTTTAGCAATGCATTAAAAGTAATTTATATTTAAAATGTAAAGAGATTTCAAAATAATTTTGCTCCAAGTGGTCTTTTAGAAGACAGAACAACCTTTCTATAGGTTCTCTGTGATGCTTCTCCAAAAAATATTATGGTTTATTATGGAGCATAAGAAGTTGTCCAGGAATGCAGTTGTGATCCAATTTATTCATTCTTTTCAAGATCCAGCAAGAGCCACAACAAAACTTTGATTTCTATGGCTAGCATTTGCTTTATCTGAGCTTACACCTCATCAGATGAAGTTTTCTTTACTTTTCCATAGGGGATCTTGGAACTGGGAACTCTGTAGCCTGGTTCTGCTCCATTGCAGCTCAAATGAATGAAGTCAGGAGAATGGAGATAAATGTTATTTTCTGAAAAATAGAACTGCAAGAAAAAATAGTATGGAAGGAAAATAAGGGGTCTTATTCCCACAAGAATCTGTAGTTTCTCTAGGGTGGGGAAGGGGGAACAGTGCATAACTTGGAGACAATGTTAAGCTATTTATTTATGTAAAAATAGCACTGGTTAATTGCTGTTTTATTTACTGTAGTTGGCACTAGAAATGCCAAATACCATGGTCTTTATTTAACCATTATTATTTTTATTTTTAGGAATGTCACTAATATAGAAGCAGTAAAAAACATTTTCTTACTGATTCTTTGTGTGTGAAAATATATATATACACACACATATATAGACATATATATATATATATAGATATGTATACATACATATGTAGGTACTTGTGGACACATAAAGAGCTACTTTATTATGTTAAAAACTTCACCATTTTCCTGTTGTGGTGCTAAAATCCTGTCAGTAACATATCATTCATTTCTCAGTCAGTCCCAGTCCTGTATGTTCTCTAGGTAGAGAGAATATGCTGAAATTTTTAACTTTTTTTGCTAAATATATCATACTGATTTTCATTCATTGGTGCATAGGTTGTGAATTTCTTATTATATTTAGTACTCATAATTTTTGCTTGTTCTCTACGGATAAAGAAACAGAGTCCTAACTTTCTTGTAAAGCAAAATCTGGCTGTGTCTTTCCAAGTTTCCTCAGACTGATCACAATTCAGACAAGCTGAATTGTGCATTGGGGTTAAATCTTGCAAGTTGTTCCATGGTTTATATTTGGCTATCAAATGAATAAATCTTTCAAGTAGTTTGGGTAGGAAGGAAAAGGAATCTGATATGTGGTTTTACGTGTATGGATCCCAAAAAAAAAAAAAAAAAAAAGGGATTTAACAGTAATGTTGCTGCCTCAAATAAAGATATGGTTGAAAAGAAAAGGATGAAACCAGGGCTGAAAGAGATTAGGAGGTCACAGGTGACACTGCCCAGAGACATCAGTGTCTCTGTGCCCATCTCTTCACATGGCAGTGACCATTAGGATTTCCAGCCAAACAGCTGCTGGAAGCGCATCACCAACAGGAGATTAATTTCTCTGCCCAGATGAGCTATCTTGATTTGATGAAAAAAAAAAAAATTGTCAGGTATATAGTTAAAAATTAATGTTCGTTTAAAGAAACCAGCAGGTTCCTTATCTTTAAGAAGGGAGTAAAACATTTGTCCTTCTTGAGGAGCTACAGAGTGGTCTTTGATGTTCAGATTTCCTCTTTTATTGCAGTATTTAACCCTGACATGTGCCAAATAATTTAACTGCAAGTTTGCATATTAATATTATCATCTGGCACTAGAGGCTTCCTTGGAAGCTTTAAATAGAACAGCAAATCAAAACCATTTAGGGATCCTTGGTGGTCAAAATATAACCAGAAATGTTTAACACAGCCTTTCCTAACCTTGAGGCTGTTTTCAAAGCACTTCCACCCCTCCCCTTTCAGGTGCTTGTATTTCTCACAAGAAATCTCACTTCACACAACAGAGCAAAGTGCTTTATCACAGACATTCTAATGTCAAGGAACTCAGTATATAAAAAGAGGAATGAACAGAAAAGACAGTTGCCCTTAGATGCTGGAGCTTTTTTTTCTCCTGAAGTAGATGAGGCTGATAAGAAACTCAGAGGGATGGTGAAAAGAGACATTAAGAAAAGAAGGAGAGATATTTTTAACAGGAGAAGAAGAAGAGAGAATTGGAAGCAAACAGAAAGGGGGCAGTTCAATAGCTGAAGGCTGAAGGAAAGTAAAGGGAAAAGAAAGATAAGAAGGAGAAAAGAAGAGAGCTAAAACAAACTGTTTCTGCAGTTAACATTTAACTAATTTGCAGTTTCTCATGCAAACTACTTAGTCTGTGGGATTAACTTGAGTGTCCACTTCCATCATACTGTCTGTAGCATCTGGGAAATAATCTCTTATGTCAAGAAATAAAATTATTTAGAACTTTAGCTTGTCTAAGTTTTAAGAATAAAATGAACTGTTTTACTTTAAAATTACTTCAGTAAGATTTACAGTTGAGATCAAAGTGGATGACACT